AGCAGGGAGCCCGATGCGGGACTCGATCCCGGGACTCCAGGATCATGACCTGAGCCAAAGGCAGTCGCTTAACCAACTGAGCCACCCAGGCGCCCCTGTATTTTGAATTTTTTAAACTGGTTTCTTTTTCCCCCTAGTTACAGAATGCTCCACTCAAGTGATGGCAGGGAAGTACAAAGTCAACAGTTTACAAAGGGGCTTTAAAACTACCTACTTTATTCCTAACTTTTCTAAAAGTAAACACTGCAAAATGTTAATTAATCACAATCACGAAGCACTGTAAAGTGACCACTTGTAATTTATTTTGCTCTACTGTGCAATCCGTTGGGATGATATCATGTTGCAAACTGTGCCTAGTCTGATTCCAAAATCTGAACCCGTGATTATTTTTTTAATTAAAAAATTCATTTCTAGAAAATCTTCTGAATTTAAGTGGCTTAAAAAATTCATTTCTAGAAATTCTTCTGAATTTAAGTGGTTTAATCCATCCTAAATCTGATAAGTGAATAAGAAGAGGGATGGGAACTCGGCAATCAAACACAGGCACCTTACTTTAAAGGCCTTCTTTGTAAGTAAAGCCTTGAATGGAATTTGCCCATCACAGCATATACCCAAGAGTATTTGTTACTATGAGGGAGATCACAGTCGTTGAGATTAGTGGTAACCTTTTGATTTTAGCCCAGCGAAGGGTGAAATATATTAATATTAAAAATGCAGAAGCAGAAAATAATTTTTTGTGATCTATCATGTATCCATACGTTATATCTACCAAAAGGATTTTCAGCTTGTCCAAAATAGATAATTTCCCTAAAACATTAATATAACTTAAGAGAGGACTTCATGACATAGAAAATAGAAGTTAGAAAATGAATGCATCTTTGGGAGCATCACCCTTGTCTTAAATCAGTGAACTATGTCTTTTAAAAAAAATGCCATCCAATTTTTTTTCATAATGGCAAACATCAACACAGCAAAACAGGATGCAATTTTTCTAAATAAATAAATCAATGATGTGTCAAAAATTAACAGATGAGTTAATATACTCGGTGCTATCAAAACCAGATGGTGCTTCCTAATATTCATCCTGCTCAGTCAATCCCTGAATATTTTCTGGACCATCGGTATATAAAATAGGATGCTGCTATTTGTGATGGCAAACAAAAGCAATCATGCCTGCCAAGCACATACTATAACAGGCAGCATTTCAGCTCTGCTAGACAGAAAGTAATTAGAATGCTTTTAATGTCCAAAAGAATGATGCTGATAGGCTGCCACAGATGTGTAGATTTATGAATATTTATATGGTGGTTTATAGCTGACACTTTTATCAGTTGAAGAAGATAAAATATCTGCCTGACTCAAAAGCTTGACAGTCAGGTTAATAAAATCTCATTAAAGAGAATGACCTATGCAATTATATAGGATTTATTGTAATTCATTTTTGATTGTACTCTGCTTAAAGATGCAATTTCCCATTTCCTGATGCCAAATTTAGGCTGCATATCAAGATCTACGTGGGTTTTAACTCTAAGCCTCCCAGAGAGGAAAAATATGCTTTTAAAACCATGGTATATTACCCCTTTTAAGGAAAATTATACTCTTCATGAGATTTTATAGGAATGCTGAAAAATCTATTTTTAATCACATATTTCTCCTCTCAGTGGCTTATGGCTCTTAATGGCAAATAAGATTCACTTCAACCTTTTCATCTTTTCACTGCATTTACTCTGGATGCTCAGTTATAGCTCTTCTATCCTTGACTCGATTCATCACATGGATGTGTTGACTATTTTCCGTTTACTAGGTAGCTGGAGCGGCTGCAATAACACTTTTGTGCGGGTGCAACAAGCAACTGCCACCCCTCCCCAGCCCCCTCCCCAATATGCTGAAATGGTGTCTGTCTGGGCACACATGCTCATTGGTTCAAAGTGGAACCACTAGTTCCTCAAAGAGCCAATCAGCTCTTCAGGTGACTGTCCCTCTGATGGCCACTCACATCTCTGTGCCCGTTAAGAGACGGCTTTGTCCATCAATGATTCATATTATGACCACAATTCATGATGTCTAGTACTATGGCCTTTTTTTTTTCTTTTTTGCTGCCAGACCATTTTCCTCACTGCATGGAAGAAACCTACCATCCAATTCCTGTCTTTCCAACAAGCACATGGCATCCTGCCCTTGGTGCTATCAAGCTTACCTCTCTATGACCTTAAAGAAGAAAGAAAGAAAAGCAGCAGCCACAGTAGCCTTGAGAATAAAAGGAAATAAAAAATATAGGGAGTTTGAGGGGGCATCAAACAAAGCCCCCCTTCACTCTTTTAGATGCAGTGATGTTGTGATTTCCACCTCCGGACAGACGAAATTAACTAGGACGAAACACTGAAAGAGAACATTTACAACAAGGTGAAAAGGAAAACCACACAAACTCCTTGTGGACGAAAGACAGCAAGGACACCGTCAGAGTAGGAGGGAGCACGGAAAGGACAGCAAGTGGTGGTGTAGAAAAAAGAAACAATGCAGGAAAAAGAGCAGGAAAAAGCAAGGTTAAAACTATGGATGAAAATGGAAAGGAGGGGGCAGATTTATAGTGTATAAAAGGAGGTAAAAGATTGAAAGACAGTCAACAAAGACTGAAAGGAGAAAGCAAGATGAGATTAAAGACTGAACAGGCAGATTAAAAGGGGGGGAACCCCCAGTGAACATGGTGGAACTAAGGTTATGCAAAGGGGTAGGCAAAACATAGAAAATGGGAAAAAGACCCAAACTGGGGAGAAACAACATATAAAACAAATATAAAGCAGAACGAGAGAATAAACATGGGCATGAATTAGAAGAAAATAAGACTCCAAATCCAGAGAGAAAAGAACACAAACCTTACTAAGAAGGGGAGAACACAGAAGAAAAATAACGGACAAAATGGAAGTGGGTGAGTAGCCTAACAATGAATATAAAACACAACAGAATATCGGGTCAAGAGCAACTGAAAAAAAAAAAAAAAACCCCACCAAAAAACCAAAACCAACAAACCACCCCACAAACAATAAGAACACCTACATAAGAACCCCACTCAAAGCCGTCAAACATCTCCAAATCAGTGAGAGATGTGACAGAACAAGTCTTCACTATTACCTGTAATTAGATTTTCTTTCTCAAAACCAATCCTTCGTGCGTCAAAATATTGACAAACAACGTAACAGCACAGGCATCTATAACTCATTTAGAGACAATGCTCATATTTTCAGTGGGACAAAAGCCTTGGATCCACGGATACGCAGAATTGGGGGGAGGGGGGGCTCTAAAATGCCACGAAAGGCCTGAGCAGGAACTTTTAGTTCTCAGGAGCGAGATAAACGCGGCTCTGCGCCCTGAGGGAGCGCAGAGTGCCCTCGGGCGCAGGCCCCAGGCTGTGGCCTTTCTACCAGCCCACTCCCCGAAGCCTAACCCGAACGAGAGCTGGCTTTTCCCAGGGGGCCTCCTGCAGGCTCCCAGGGGAGAGGAGCCTAGTTGCCTGGGGTGGGCGCTCCCCACCAGGCCTTTCCTCAGGGCTGGGGCTCAGATGCTCTCGAGGCGCGGTGCAGCCCATCCCTCCGCGCGGGGGGCGTGGGCGGCGGGCCCCGAACGCCCGGGGGAGGGGGCGGGACGGCCCTCTCCCCCAAGTCCGCCGCAGGGCCGAGCGCCAGGTCCACCCGCCGGGCTGGTGCAGAGGACCCCGCTCTCTTACACCCACCGGCCGGGACTCTGGGGTTGGTGGGGAAAGAGGGCCAGAGAGAGCAGAGACAGCGGGCGCACGAGAAACACGAGCGCACAGAAAAAGAAGAGCGAGCCCAAGAGCCAGCCGAGTGGACCGCGACAGAGTAAGAACGCCTCAAAGAGGTGGTGAAAAAGAGGACCGGAAGATAAGGAGGGAGAGAGAGAAGGAAAAACAAGCGGAGAAGAAAGAGAGATAAAGGAAGAAGTGGAAGGAAAAAGTGCAGCAGCCCAGAGTAAAGGGAGGGCGTCCCCGAGCGCCGTCAGAGCAGCGCCAGCCTCTCCCCGAGCGGCCGTGGCCGCCACCCTGGGGTGTCCCGCGCGCGACCTCGGCGCCGAGGCTGCCTCCCCGACCCCCCGCCCGAAGGACCCCGGCCGCCGACCGCCGCCGCCCCGCTTCCTGGGCGCCGAGCCGATTCTGAGCGCGGAGCCACCTGTTAGGAGGCGCGCTCGCCGTCGGAAGCTCCGCACGCGGCAGCGGCGGCGGTGGCGGGGAATCCTCTAGAAGTTGCTGCCCGTGCGTGGAGGCCTCAGGGTTGCGCTCCGACGCCCCGACTCTCTCTCAGCCCGGACCGCGCCGGCCCCTCTCCCCCCGCGCCCCTCCCGCCAGGCCCGGCGCGCGAAAGGGCGTCCGCCATGCCCAGCTTCTGGTTCCCGGGGCCCCCACCCCTCCCCGCGGCCGGGCGGGAAGGAAAGTTGCGCCCAGGAGTTGGTACCTGCACTGAGCTCCAGGCTGGCGCCGTCGCTGCCTGCGCTGCTGCTGCCCGTTGCGGCCGCCGGGCCCGGGCCATACCTGACGACGGCGGCGAAGGACGAGGATGAAGAGGCGGCGGGGGACGCCGGCGGCGGCGCCGGAGTCCTCAGGTGGCCCTGGGACGCGGCGGGCGTGCAGGATGGAGACGACGAGGAGGCGGCGGCGGCGGCCCGGCCGGGCCCGGGGGGGTAGGAGCTCTGCGTCTGGAACTGCTGCTGCGGCGGCGGCGGCGGCGGCGGCGGCTCGCTGCTGCTGATGGAGACCGCGGCGTGCGGCGCGAAGGGCGGCGGGGGCGGCGGCGGCGGCGGCCGGACGTGCGGCAGCTCCACCAGGGTGGGTCTGTCGTAGCGCTTGGCCAGCGCCGGTCTCTTGCTGGGGAACGTCTTGAGGACGCTGTAGGGGCTGCGCTGCTTGTAGATTTTGGGGACGCTGGGCCCCTCCTCCGCCGGCTGCATCTCCTCCTCCATCCTGCGCCTCGGGGCTGGTCCCCGGTCGCACGCCCCCTCCCCGCCGGGCGCCGGGCTCCGAGGGTGCCTCCGCCTCCCGCCCGCCGGCTCTGCCCGAGTGCGCGCGTGTGGGAGGGTGTGTGCCTGTGCCTGTGCCGCCGCCGCCGCCACTGCCGCCTGTCGCTGAGGCTGGCATCGCTGAGCCCCCGCGCGGGGGGCTGCCGCCCGAGCGCTGATTGACAGGCCGCCTCGCCAATGCCTGGAGGGAGAAAGGAGGTAAAGAGCAAGTGTTTAGGATAATATCTGCTAATGATAATGGGGGCGGGGGCGGGGCCTGGCGTCGCCGCCACCGCCCGTGGGGTCCGCGCGCCGGGTGTGCGCCTCCGACTGGGGGAGGGAAGGGAAAAGCCGGATCCCGAGAGCGCGCGGGTAAACAGGGCGAGGTCCCGGCCAGCGCGAGACTTTGGAGCCCCAGGTGCGGACTTGAAGCTTTTGCCGTTGCGGGCGGGGTTCAGCTTCGGAAATGAGCTCCTGGCGCCCCCTACGTGACCCCAAACTCTCGGGGTTGCACAGAGGGGCTGGTAGTAGTTGGGGCGGGGCATGTGTGCCTTGGGAAGGTATTGCAGCCAGTTCTGCCCCTCGGGAATTGCTCCCCCAACCTTTGGAAAAGAACACCTTGAAGGTATTGACCTAGGGTCGCTGCGCGTTGTTTGCGCGTCTGGGGGTCCGCCCACACCCAGCATGTGACCTTTGAGCTCTTGCAGATCCCACGAGCATACGGGCTCTCGGACTTTCACATTATTTTATTAATTTCCCGTAGGGGCCCCGAGAATGTAGCAGAATCATTTACCCCATTCTACAGATGAGTAAACAGAGGCTCCGCGAGGTAATTGCCCAAAGCCAGACACTCCGGAGTGTGTGGCTGAGTGCAGACGTGCATCCATATCATTTGAATTCATATCCTCACTTCTCATAGCACGTAGACTCTGTGCAATTGAGGGAAAAATCTGACCTGATACCTCCCTTTGGGATGCTGATTAAATACTTTCAACAGTGTCATTTGATATATAGGTAAATGTGAGAACCAAGGTGGCCCGATTGCTCGTACGTACCCTGTATTGCCCAGCGAGCTTCTCACTGCCTCTGGGGCCACCAGGATAGTGTTACTGGAGGACACAAAATTCCAGTAATTGTCTGAATGAGAGAAGAGCTTCTGTGGTTTGGAGGAGGATCCGCATGGAGTAGAGATGTCTTCAAATCAACAGGAGTGCCCTGGCTTCTCCCAGAGGCTCCTTGGAGTAAATCATCCCTCTCCTAGGCCGGTGCCAGCATACTCCCCCCTCCCAGGATTGGTTTCCAGCCTGTCCGTCTTCATTCCCCAGGTTAGGAATCTGGGTGCATCTCCTCCTTAATGTATGAGTCTTCTCTCACCACTCTGAAGTTACTTTCCTTTTCGGAGTTTTCCTTTCAGTCTTGGGAAAGTGACCCACTTTCTTCTGGGGGTTCAGATCCTTCGCCTCTTATTTCCCATATCTCCCTTACCTTGGAATCCTCTCTCTGCTGGTTGAGCTTCTGTGTTCTTCCACCCAGGATAGTCTCTCTCTCTCCTGCAGCTTCCTCAGATCATGCTGTGGGTACCCCCCTTCCATTTATTAGAGATGAAATAAATAATGCCATAAATAAAAGTATTTGGGAGTCCAGGAACTGTCAGAGCTGATTAGGGCATAGAGGACATTTTCTTTCTCATTATGCAAAAGCATTTCATGGGGAAATAAAAGAGGTTTCATTGTAACTCATGCATGTCATATTTCAAGGAATTCAAGATATTAATCATATTTAACATTATTTGCAACGTTTCTCCCTGGCTTCTGAAAACTGCTAAATGAGGACACGTGGATCACTAGGAAAAAGGGAGACAAGCATGAGAGGGACAGTTAAGGAATAATGAAATGCTGGTAAAAGGGAGAGGGATTGAGATGCCAGAGAGATGTTTCTTAGGCACATAAGTGAGAAATGGGGGAGCTTCTTCTGAGACGTGAGACAGCTGAAATTGAATGATATAGTGGAGGAAATAAATGATAACAAACCTCCCCACACTTTTCTTTCTATAAAGCAGTTCTGAATTTTGCATTGAAATGTTTCCCTCCCACTTTACTCCCAAATAATTTGCCAGTAAGTCCTGGTGTTTGAAAAGAAATTGGGGTGGTGGCAGTGTTTGTGTGGGGTGGCTTAGAGGGGAGAAATTCTTGAGTCCTTCTCCTGAAGAAGTAATTTCCTATACCTGAGAGCTTTCTCTTTTTGGTTATGTATTTTTAGTTTGTATCATCCTCACCACTTAAACACCTTAAGAGACTGGGAACAGTACTTCTGTTGTTATATTTTACCAACTAAAAGGACCTGTCATCCTATACATCAGAAAGTAGTCATTTCTATAAAACTGAATGTTAAAACTAGTGGTTTAGCTTTAAAAGAAAAGGTGGGGGGAGGGCTCCTAGTAGAAAAAATATTAGAAATTTAGAAACAATCAACTTACAGATCCTCATGCTAACGGTCACCTACGTCTGGGCCCATAGAAAAATGAAGTGCTTAGTAATCACTCTTGAGAAAATAAAATGGGCATTTATTCCAAGTGTGGAGTTGGACTCAATTTTAAACTTGTAACTGACCACTAATCCCTGCCTGGGATTGTACTTAGCTGAGTATTGTACATAAATGTAATGTATAGAAGTGTTTATAAAATCACTGGTAGCACTTTGTAAGCATCTTTCTCTAAGTTATAGTCTAAATTATCAGGTGGTGACTTTGCTGATATCTTCTCTTTAGGGTCTCATGGGGGCTGTTAGGATGGTAATTACACCTATGCTTTAAATCTCCTTAGATATTTACTCTTATCTCAAAAAAAAAAAAAAAGGTAGTGAGCTTTTTAAAACCAAGTGGCTATTTATGGACAGGGTGATTTTTGATTGGCAGCATGTCAATTCCTTGAGCCATCCAGAATATAGCTTTTAAATAATAAGTCAGCCATGGGAAATGCTTTTTATTGCACCAATTTCAATGATATTTAATGAGCTTCTGATTGACTGTTTGATCTCCCAATGTTTTGTGCTACTTTTAATTCATTTCGTATAATAGAAAAAAAAGTAATTGGAATAAAATTTTGTGACAAGATAATGACCTTCCACTTTGAAATTAAATGTCTGATTAGCTTCAACATTTTAATGCTGAGATGATATTGTGGCAGGAACAGGAGTGTGCGTACCATCATTTGGTGGGAAAGAGCTGAGGAATACTCCTTTGCTTTTCCCACTGCATGGCAGAGAGGGTGGAGTGGGCACAGAATCATAGACTCGTAGTACTAGAAGAGACCTTCATGGTCTTTTATTCTTGTGACTGATCCTATGCCTATAGCTTTTCTATGACATTGCTAAGTGGTTGTACAAACCATGCCTAAATACTTCCTGTCCTGGGGACCTCACTACTTCTGGAAGCATCATTCACCCAAGGATTTGTTGGTTGGTTGGTTAGTTTTTTTTAAGTCAGCTTTATGCCCAATGTGGGGCTTGAACTCATGACCCCAGGATGGCATGCTCTACCAACTGAGCCAGCCAGATACTGCTCTCCCAAGGATTTATTCACCAAATATTTATTGAGTGCCTACTATGTGCTAGGTACCTTTCTAAGCATTGGAGGATAAAATGGAAGCAGATGCCAAGATCCTACTATTATAGAATTGGTGTGGACAGGTAATAAATAAGCTGGAAACTAACCAAACAATATATTACATTTGCATAATATAATAAGTAAATATATTATATAGTTAATATTATACTAATGCAGTAAATATAATATATAAAATGTATCTAATACATAATACTATTATTGATCATATTTCCGATAGAAATAACTATGATGGAAAAAATAGGATGGGGATGTTACTTTTGATAAATGGTTTGAGACGACCTCTCTGAGGAGGACCAGTTGAGCTGGGAGTTTACTGGTGAAAAAGAGCGAGCCATCCGTGAGAAGATCACTCAAGGCTGAGGGACAACAAGTGCAGGAGCCAGCAGGTGGGAACACGTTGGATGTTCTCAGGGAGCTGAAGCAAGGGCAAGAAGTCGGAGTGTCCGGGCAAGGGGCAGAGTGAGGAGATGAGGCCCTGGGGCAGGCTGGGCCCAGCGTGTGCTGTTATGTATACCTTGGGAAATGTCTGGCATTCATTTGAAATGCCATAGGAAGCTTGGAGGTGGTGAAGCTGGGGAGTGACGCGACTTGATTGACGCTCTTAAAAGATAATTTTCAGAAACGTAAAATTATGACTCTCATATGTACACACAAAAAATGAACAGATGTTAATGACTTTATTTAACATGTTCGACGCCCTCATAGTCTTCAAAGGAAAAGTCAAAAAAGCACAAATTGAAATGGAATCGAGGAATGTTGAATTGAAAGTGCAAATGGTTTTTCTATGCACAAACTGGTTTTTTCCATGAGGAGGTACAGGTGAGGGGGGAAGGGAGCCTTTACCGGACAGGACAGTTTGCATGTCTGTCAGTTATCTACACTTTCAAAGTTGTAAAAATCGTTCGAAGACAATGAAGGAATAGAATCCGATAACTTGGAAGGGTGTGCTATATGGAGACAATGCATAATTTTCCACCAAAAGACAATTTCTTTTTCTACAATGCTTTTTTAAGAAAAAGCTTTGTTTTCTGTAATTGCACATTTGCAGGACATTGCAAAGATTGTACAGAAAGGTCCTGGGTAGCCTTCATTCATTTCTTCCAATGGGTACATTTTATGTAACTGTAGTTACAGAAGTGGGATCATGCAATATGTGATTTTTTGAGATTTTCCACTTAGTTTAGTGCCCTTGAGCTCTCTCCATGTTGTGTATATCAATAGTTTGTTCCTTTTTATTGCTGAGCTGTATTTCATACTATGGATGTCCCACAGTTTGTTTAACCATTCACCGATGGTAGGACATTCTGCTTGTTTTCAGTTTGGGACTATTACAAACAGGGCTGC